TAATTTCCTGTGATTCTTATGAGGTCAAAAACTGAAAAGGAGAAGGAACTGCTCCTGCAATTGAGCAATCAAGGGGGAGTTAGAGACTGTGCTGAGGGATAAAACTGTGGGATGCCAGGAGCAGAAGGGAACTGAAGACAAGCTAGAAGCAAAACGGAGATGAGATCCAGACAGCACTTGCAGATTATACCTTCAATTATTCTGCCTGGAGGAGAGGAAGGAAAACAGGTAAGGTCAAAGGTGGTTTTTTGTTGTTTTTTATTTGTTTTGTTTTTGGTTTTTTTTTTCTCTTTTTATTGGAAAAAATGAAATGTTAAAGGAAGAGAGGCAAAAGACAGTAAGAAGTATTGATCAAGAATCAGTGTAAGTATAAGATTCAGTCTAGCAAAGTGGAAGGGAGTAGGCAAAAGATTTCTGTATTTGTGAAAGAAGATGAGAAGCAGGAGAGAAGGAGAAGAGAGCACATTACATTTTGTTAGCTTTTTTCTTGGAAGAAATCTAGGGCAGTAAGAGAATTAGAGAAGAGAGGTAAGAGGAGCATTGGAAGCAAGTGTAGAGAAAGATGGCTGTCAGATTCAGTTATTTGAAGAAGAAGGGGAAGAAAAAAAGTATGGATATGGTAGGACTGGAGAGACTGATTTTTTCGTGGCGAAAGTCAGCGGTTTTGTGAGCACTCTTGAGAAAATCTGCTTGCTTAGAGAACAGGAGCCAAAGCCCACATGTTCAGGGGAGCCTTAGACAGAAGCTGAGAGGCAATGCTGGTAGTCAGAGGGGTTGTGAGCAGACAGGTTAAAAACACTAGGGAGGTGTGAAGCAAACTGTGAGCAGAATGTATGCCAGAAGTCAATATACAAAAGTCAAGCCACACTGTGGTCATGAGTAATGACAAAGAAATGAAAGAGTGAAAAATTGCTCTCTGGACACTGTTCCACATGAAAGCTATATTAAAAAAAAAAAAAAAAAAAAGTGATCCAGAGGAAATAATCTAAAGAAATCCAAAGTGCACAAAAAAAAGTCTGAAAAAGTTTGAAAAACAAAAAAGTATATCAAGTGATTCATCTGAGATGTCATGGAGTTCTATGCCACCTGAATTTTTCCATGTAATTATTTCATCATCTAGAAATAGTGTTAATAGTGTTAACAGTGTAGTGTAATAGTGTAGAATAGTGTCAAAATATGTTACTCATAATTGCTAAAGAAATCAAAATAAGAAATCAGTTTAATTTTCGACATTAAAAAAATGGTCTAGGAAAATTAATATTGCAAACATCTGAACAGGCTGCCTGGACAGATAGGGGATGGAATTTAATTTGAGATTTTTTTCACCTACTTTGGTATTCTGGAATCTGCTTTAATGAGAGAAACTGGGCTAGATTTTGTATTGAGAACCCTTTCATCTCTATATTTTTGCGACTACAATATGTTCTGCATGGAAGCACTCATCTATAATCACTTGACATTTGACTTTAAATATGGTATGCTTTTGTTGTGATGCTAAGGATGCTTAAGGAAGAAGTGACCAGTTTCTTGAAGGTGGCCTTCTTTCATCTTGTTATTAAATGAGATATATTAATGCAGTGAAGAGCGCTTTGCCTATGGGTCATATTGACTTAGAAGACATAATATTACATTTCTCAGTTTTGATAGATATTAAAGAGAAGAGATCCTAATGACCTTGTCCCCAAGCCATAAAGACCTCATGATTTGGAGCCAAGATTGGACCTCATATTTCCATATTTAGCACAAGTGTATCTCCATGTGATTCATTGCCAATGATTAACAACTTGAAGATGAGAAGACACTAATTGCATGGCATTTAGCCTAGGTTATGAGTGAGTAAATTCAGATTTAAAACTACAAACTGCGATATAAAAATGATGTTTCTGAAGGGGCTGATAATATACAACCTTGGTGCCTGGGAAAAATGTTTTCTTTTAATGGTTTTCTTCACTTACCAGTTATTCATTTCAAAATGTCCTCTTCTGACTACATTTACTCTAGTCTGGTGCAGTGCAGAGGATATTTATTCATTTGACACATTTATTCTTTTAATGGTTATTCATTTGAGAGAGTTTTACTGTGTGGATATATATTTTAGTTTGGTGCAAAGGAGATTCATTCTTTTGACAGTTTTATTCTTTTAACGTTTATTCATTTAAAGAGGGATTCAGTCTATAAGTCTATAACAAAAAAAAAATCTAGGAATAAGACACTGCTGGTTAAATAAGTCCATTGTGTTCACAGTTTCAAAGGAAGGAAACAGCACTCCCTGCCTGTAACACTGCATCTAGCTAAATAGTTCATTCATCTTTTTATAACTTGTGGCTAAAACAAATCTTAGAAAGGCCGAGGGGAAATGAGCACTAAATGCGCTTATATATGTTCCATTAGACATGTCATGAGAGTTGTTGTATATTAATATACTCACAGTTGATTATTGACCTACAAGTTTTACTGGTAAAACAAATCTTAGAAAGGCTGAGGGGAAATGAGCACTAAATGCTGTTGATTATTGACCTACAAGTTTTACTGAAGAACATTCACCTTAGTTTCACATTGTAGATATTTTTCTGCTGAAGGCATTTCATCTGTGCAATTGTGTAATTCTGTTTCTGTAGGCAAAATCTGTCTCATTTAAATTTCACCATATGGAGGTTAGATTTTAGTTTGAACTTGTTCATGGATATGTTTGAGTCATGGAATGAGATAAATATTTTCAGAAAACAGCTCATTGCATTTTTAGATATAAATGAACCACCCCTAAACTCTGTATTCATTGAGGAAGGAGCCTGGACTGCAACCTTAGACTTTCCGATGACTAAAGTTTAGATAGATGAACCCAGTTCTTACTCTGAGTAAATTTACAGAACCTGGAACGTTGCTAGATTCAAAATAGTTCTTAAAACAAGCATTAGGATAAAATTCCTACATTTATTCATAGTATTATAGAATCATTATGGTTGAAAAAAACCTTTGAGATCATGGAGTCCAACTGTAAGCCCTTCAACACTATACCTGCTAAACCATGTCCCTAAGTAAGTGCTTTATTTACATGTTTCTTGAACACTGTCAGGAATGGTGACTCCATCACTTCCCTGGGCAGCCTGTTCCAATACTTGACTACTCTTTCCACGTATAAATTTTTCCTAATATCTAATCTGAGCCTCCCCTGGCACAACTTGAGACCATTTCCTCTTGACCTATCCATAGCTGTTTTGGAGAAGAGCTCAACCTCTGCCTCACTACAACCCCCTTTCAGGCAGTTGCAGAGAGCCATAAGATCTCCCCTAAGCCCCTTCTTCTCCAGACTAAATAACCCTGGCTCCCTCAGCTGCTCCTTACAAGGTCTGTGCTCCAGCCCCTTCATCAGCTTTGTTGCCCTTCTTTGAACACACTCTGTGTCTGTGATAAAACTGTGATAATATATGTAAATACTATGAATTATTCACAGTAATGAATACTATGAGTACCACGTATTAGAAATCAAAACAATTGAATTCCTGTTTTGAGGAAGGAGAAAACAAAGACAATTAAAAAAAGGGTAAGTTAATGATTCTGATTCTTAATGAGATTTCTCTTTGATTCCTCCCCTGCACTGGAACTGTAAGGCAGCGATTTGATCATCAGTCTGTAAATCAAGACTTTTCAGCAGAGAGCAACTATAAGAGATACCATTTAGTGTTGTGTAGGGAGGATGTATGAAAGAAAGAAAGGAGGAAAAAGATTTTAAAATGGAAGGGAACACAAAAGAACAATACTTTATTGGAGAGAGATGTTTCACATGCTAGCATTTCCTTGTATCAGTCTCATAAGAAACATAGATACAAGGGCCAAAATTTGATAAGTATAACCATTGTTATTGGCTATAAGTCATTGTTCTTTAAAGGGAAGTTCAGAGGTCAAAATACACTATGTAGATTAATTCTGAAGTTTTAGATGAACACTCTGTATCTAGTAACAATGGTGCTTTAATTGAACTTGAGATCTTAATGATTAATATGAGAAATAGAGGGATGTGTATATTTAATGTATTTTTTTTATGGTTCAAAGGCACAATGTTACTTGATAAATAAGGTAAATAGCATGAAATAAAGTCTTAACCAATAATGCCTACAATGCAATACTTTTCTATGTATAGTGTAATACATTTTTACATTATATACAATATAATGCAATATATTTCTACCAATGATCTATGCACTTTTGCAAGGAAGAAAAGAGAAAACTTATATCTTAAGATATAGTTAATCATACAAAAATCTGATAATGCAGGAATTATCTGCTCACAGTAAATAAACTCAAGACACATTAGTCATTTCAGGACCTTCATCAAGTGTTCTACATAAGAAAAAATAAATCATTCAATTCCAGTGAAACAACTCAGATTTTTAAAGTTTTACAGAATATGATAACTCAATGTAAACTGCTGATGATATTCATAATTTTTTTGAAGAATATCTTCTTACGCCTACTGTCAGCTGTATAGGTGTGTGCATTGTTACAAAATAGCTTAAGGAGATGTAGTGGTCTCAGTTTTAAAAAATGTGAATTATTCTGCTTCCAGTATTTTGCATGAAGTGGGAAGGGTTTTTTTAAGGGTAGTTAACTCAATATATTTGAAAATTGGACCCCTGGTAAGGCATACCGGGGTAAATTAAAGAAACTAAAACATTTTAAATCACTAATGACTTGTTCTCAGATGGCCTCCACACTGAAATGCTTACTAATCTGAAGAAGACATAATGTTTAAGTAACATTTTATTCCAATATTATTTTTCTTCTCAGCTTGTGGTTTGTTTGACTTTACCAGCTTGATTGTGGGATTCTCTGTGGTGAAACCAGGAAACCTCAGCAAATATTCTTTACTGCAGAATGCTATACTTGTTATTTCTGTTCTGATTTAGCAAATTTCTGTCTTTTGCAGCAACTTACTACTATGGGGAAAACTTCAATAACTTGGACATTCTGATTTCTTTTTTTTTTTCTTTTTTTGTTCACAGTTCCAAAGACACCTCCAGCTAATGTAAGTGGCAGAAGTGGAAGACGACATGAATTAGTGATAGCATGGGAGGTAAGGGATTTTTTGATTAAAGTACTTGCTTCTTGTTTACTTCTTCGAGTAAGGAGTACAATACTGGGGTCTCCCTACAGCAAATATTGGGAAAACATGAACACAAAATACTAATCTACCAACATCTTCCAAAGTTTCAAAGTAATACACATTTCTATCTGTTTTGAATAGGGAAGATTATGGTGGACCTACCCAGCAGCAGCTCCAGCTATATTAATTTATCACTTTTTCCTTCTCCGTTGACTGCACAGGTTGATTTGACTTTCTTGGCTCTTATGTGAAAGCTGATGAGAGGAAGAGAGGGAAACCCTCAGAACACTTTTATTTAAATAGCAACAGAATAAACATTCTGTATTCTTTCACAAAAATGCAAAACTAAAGAGCTCTAATACACCATTACACCAACTCAAGATCTGGGTCAGGTGAGGCAAATGAACATTGCTTTGAATTGAATTAAGGTTGCAAGGCTATAAGCAGCAGCCAGTCCAGAGAGATTTTTTTATCACAAACAAAACCAAAAATCTCCTTCCAAATGAAACCAGAGATAAAAGGAACAGTACACATTCAGTGTGACTACTTCTGCAGTAGAGATACAGCAAACAGTTAAGATTTATTAATTTTTGTAATATAACTTTTGGTATACTTTGGCTTCCTCACCTTAAGCTAAAGAATGCAACTGCCAATAATGTACAAGATTTCACTTCTTTCCTCTGCTTCTAATTAACTTACTTTTTCCATCAACATCTAATTCTTCCTGAGGTTATTAATTTCATCATGCTGTATTGTTTCACATAATACTTAATCTGCAAGAAAAGTAATTAATAAAATTAAGATAACAAAAACAAGATATTTCATCTGTGTCAATCATATAAATAAAGTGGGCATATTTATATTGTTTCAAAGGTCTGAAAGATTTCTATGCTTTCCAATTATAATCACCATCTCTCTTTCAGAAATGATACATAAAGGTAAAAGATAAACCAAAACACACCAAAAGTATATATTTGGAAATCAGTGTCCAATTTTCTCCTAAAGAGCTAATATTGAATAGTATGCTGTGACTGTTTCCAGAAACTCATTGCAGACTGCTGTGTTCACTTCACTACTGCTCTCACTGCATTTCCATAAGGCACAACTACAGTGCAAGTTAGCCTGGCTCCAGCACAAGTGAATCTCTGCTTTTGAAGATTTTAAAAGTCTAAACTGGACTCACATAGTGAACAGGAATTCAACAAAGTACTTAGAAGGCTGAAGAGATACTGAGAACCATATGGGTGTCTGAGAATAATTCAGAAAATAAAAATAAAGAAATAAACAAAAAGCTAATTGGCAGAACTGTACTTGGCAAATTCAAACAAAACTTTGATCATTTAAAATTGATTCACAGATCATGTAGATCATGCATTTCAGGTTTCAGTGAAAATCTCAAGGTTCTTCTATTTCTCATTTATTTCTTTCCTTTCTGATGGTGACTGCCTACTGAAAAATCCATAAGTGTTAATAAAGAGTAGGAAGGCTTCTCCGTTCCAGCTCAAATTGCTAGGGTACAAAGACCATCTCCTTTTTTCGCATCCTCTGCCTTTGGATCCATGAAATTTTCTAAATAGGATGCACAATGTGCAACCTCAGGAGGCCAGATAGAAGTTTCCCTTGGTACAGTGAAATATTTAGTGATGAAACTCATGGCATGGAGGGGCAGACAACTTTGTATCCCCTGCGCCTGAACTCCAGCTCACATCCTCATTAGCTGCAAATCCAAGAGACTCTTCCAGAAATGGTGTTGAAACATCTTTGCTGTGGCACTATTTTATATACTGACAGATATTAAACTTAACCTAATACCCAACCCGGTCCATTGACTTTTTAGGAAATGTAGGTAGCAAATTAGTATGAATAATTCCATTATTTGAGCTGAACTTATAAGATTTAAATGCTGCAGTGCTTAGTTTATCAACACCTAGGTGTCTTTGCTGACTGTTTGCAACACATATGTCCCAGTTTAAGTGACTAATTTCACAGTTGTTCTGGTGTAAGCAAGGTGAGTGAGATTTTTTTTTCCCACGAGACTTTTGGTTTGGTAGTTAGAATAGCTAGTTTGATTACATTATATCTCTAAGTCTTGAGATGAACCCTTGACATAAATCATTAGTGCTCGACAGCCCATTTGGATGCAGAAACAGTGCGGAATCAAAATCCCAATTCGATCCCATTGTAGTCAATGTCATGCACATATTTTTGGGACTGAGACCTTAACAAGATGTAGCTCTCTATTTTTAACAAGGCCCTTCATTAGAAGTGGCTATTCAACTAATATTCCCTGGTTAAAGCATTAATAAAGATATGGGAACTATAGAAATGATGTCTCTAGAGCCCAAGAGCTTGTTCATTCCCAGGGCAGTGACCTAACCATGAGCCCAAGCTGCAGAAATGCTCTTCCAGATTCCTTTTCAGAAACAGTTGTGCCTCTGTTTTACCAAGCATGATAAATAAAATCCTATAATGCTACTAGAAGAGATCACCTAGATTTTAGTCAGTGAGTGATTGCTTTCTGAATGAGTAAGACTACATCTGATCATTATTTGAACTTTCTATTTTAGCCAGTGTCAGAAGAGTTTCAGAATGGAGAAGGATTTGGATATATTGTGGCTTTCAGACCCAATGGGACACGAGGTTGGAAGGAAAAAATGGTGACATCTTCAGATGCCTCGAAGTTCATCTATAGAGATGAAAGTGTGCCACCTCTGACTCCTTTTGAGGTGAAAGTTGGTGTTTATAATAACAAAGGAGACGGTCCATTCAGCCCTATTGTGGTCATCTGCTCAGCTGAAGGAGGTCAGTTCAACATATAGAAAATTCACTTTTATGTTATATCTACATATAGCTATTTTTACATAATATGTACTATTATAGCAGGCAATTTCAGTCATAGGTTTCAAATTCTTGCTGAAGTAGTAAGTATCATCAATGCTGTTTTGTAGAGAAGGACTAACTAGCCAAATTGATTGGCCAAAGCTTGTCCAGAAAGCAACAAAAATTTAGAAGGAGAAATCAAGCCACATTAGCACTATCAAAAAAGCCTCTTGTAAAAGAACTTGATGTTTCTTTGTGAAGCCTATAGCTTTAGCATAGAAAGATATAAACTTACTTTCATGGCCAAATATTCAATGTGAGTTATATGAGTACTTCAAAAACACGGATAGAAATTATTTCTGGAAAACTGCTGTGTACTCAACTTGATTTCAGTTCTGACTACATTTTCCAGGAAAAGACTAAATTATATTAGTAAAAGAAGTTGTTCTGTATTGACAGGCACCAGTGTGTGGAAATTTCCATACACACACAAAAAAGTAGACAAATATCCCCTGGAATGTTTTGAACAGCTGTATTGCTGAAAGATATGTACTTTGTGGAAGAAAGACAATTAAACTGCTGTTACAAAAGTATAATATGACAAAGACAATATTTATTTTGAAGCTGGAAAATATTAAGTATTGTTCCATATTAGCAATGTGTAATTTTAGAGCTTTAGTGTAGCAGAGAGAAGCTATTCCTTCTCATAATTTTAGGGCAAATGCTGTTTCTGTTAAAAGAAGTTCCAATTATCTGTTTTTGTTCTACTGTTTGGATAAACATTTTCAAATATTCATATCACTATAAAAATAATTTTATTTTAAAATGTAAAATTTGCCCAGTACAAATTGGACAGTTTTGCAATTTCCATTTGATCTCCCTGTCTTAATAGACAAAACTCTGATACTTAGGGTGATGTTTTTACAATTTAACAATTTTATTCTTTAATCAGAAAGCTCCAAAAAAAATGAGTAGTAAAAAAGAAAAGAGGCAAAACCATAGTAGATAATAAAATTTTCTTATTTGTAAATATTTATTTTTTCCTGGAATTGCAACAGCTATCTTAGCTAAAGTGGAACATTGAATTCTAATAAGTAATCTTCTGACTTTGTTGGGTAAAGCAAGAAAAGGAATAACCAGTAATATATAAATCTATTTTCCAACATTTCTTTTAAAATATTAAGTTTGAAAATAATCTGAATAGAATTATTAAAATGATTTTTTTCCCTATGCTTATAGAGAATACTTCTAGAAATCAACTTTTCTGATTAAAATTCAGTTATCTGAAAGTACCTACCCATTATAGCTTTGTTACTTTGATTTCTACATATCTGTACAGTAGAATTTGATAATTGAAATTCAATGCTGCTAAATACTTCCTTAAACTTATATCTGAGGGAAAAAAAGTATGATAAGCTGTGACAATACAATTCAAAATTAATTTATAAAAAGATTTTCTCAGAAATAAGCCAAGGTTCTACATAGAAAATTTAAAAGGACTATGAAACAGTTTATTACAGCTAAATTCATGGCAATGTAGAAACTAATGAAAAAATATTTCAACTTGCTATGGAAAAAAAAAAAAAAAAGGAAGGACTGGTAATGAAAAAGACACAGGACTGAGCATTTTAAGAACAAGATGACCAAGGGCTGATTTTCTCAAGGATTTCTATTGAAAATGTGATATTAAATAAAGACTGGCAGCACAATATCTTATGATCCTAAGGCTGATCCAGCAAACCTTCAGCTTTGCTTCATTTGATTCACTTGGATTCATTGTGAATCCAATTCACTTCTCTGGAAAAACCTAGAATAAAGACCTAGGATAAAATTTTTAGAAATTAAGGAAACTTTAGGTCACTTCTATAAATGATTTCTGCATCTAAAAATAGATCTACATTTGTTCAGTGGCATAACAGTTTTTTTCTAAGGAAATTTGTTACCTATATGACATTGTCTTTGCTCGACACCCAGGCATAAGTAGGAGTTTGCACGGGACAGATCCTGGATCAGGAAGAAATTTCTTATCTACCATAAATGAAAGCATGTGTCTGTTTTTCCTGGATGACTTTCCTGTGACTACATGTTTTGTGCTCTCTGGTCAGACTTTCAGAGTTCATTTTTGTGTGAGCCGTGCCTGGGCAAGCACTCTCACACAGAGTATTGAGCAATATGTTCCTCTCTGACTGATATTTGATTACATAATAGTGACTCCGACAGAGGCAAAAGACTTAAAAAAAAAAAAAAAAAGAAGAAGTTAATGAGCAAAGAATTTAATTAAACACAAGCAAAACAAAATAGAGCTTTTACAAAGTGTTTCATCTTTTTTTATCTCTAAGCCAGCTGCTTAGAAGATAAGACACTGGTGGTTATTGAGGGATCAATCAAACCAAAGTAGAAGGGGACAAAAATCTAACCGATTATAGATGTAGAACGTTTATCTTCCTTCATTGGCTTTGGAGTTTAATATCACCTGGATAGAGTTCATGGAAGAGACAACCCAAGAGTGAAAGTTGAAAAGAAATGTGTAGGGAGAGTAGAAGATAGAATGGAAAAGCAGAGAAAAAGAAAAGACAATATAGGTCTTCTGAAAGAGAGTCCTAAAAGACTAGTGGAGTAATCAAAGGAGTTTAAAAAAAAAAGAAAAAAAAAAAAAAGGCAGCTCTAACCCTGTGGGAAAGATCTTTTAATACAACAGAACAGTTTGAAGAACTCTGAGACCATAGGAAAGAAAGCAGGCAAAAGATCAAGGAGTTTTAGTGAAGAAAGAGGTGATAAGAGATCCAGGACCGGTTCTGAAGAGGTAAGGAGGATGATATACAGAAGATGCGGAAGAGAATAAAAGATATACAATTGTCTGCAAAAAGAAGATAGAACAGAAGGACACTGGAAGAACACTTCCAGCAACAAGGAAAGACAAACATGGAAATAGGTTAAAACTTAAAAGGAAGAGGAAACAGGCCTCAGAGAGAAACAGATGAGTTAGGTCTTATAGAGGCGTTTTTAACAGGATTGTCACAATGAGAGACACAGAATATGTTTGTTAGCTTCACTAGATACCTATCTTCCCCTTTAGGCACATGAAGAAATTGCCTTTACAGAAATGTAAGTCTTGTAATTTGATATACATTTAGATATGAATAAGAGAGCCTCAAGCAATATAAGATAAAGCCTGAAGACTCTGAGTTTTCCTGTGTTTGTTTAAAAGTTCCTAAGGGAACCCAGATGTACTCCTGTAATACGTACAACATGCAGTGAAATCACACAGATTTTCTACTCTTTTCGTATGGATGTGAACTAATTCATTCATCCCATGGAGAACTGAAGTTCTCAGTTTATTTGAAGGGAGAAGGACCACGTAGCAACCTTCAGAGTTTTGTTCCTTCATAAGTTTATGAGTTATGCATTGGGCTAGTGAGTGTCGTGGTATTAAATGAGATAGTATAGTCTGAAATATTTTTCTGGTTAGGTACAGCTCTCCTATGTTTTCATGTCCAGACTTTATTTAAATAAATAAATATTCCTTTTCATGTAGAAGAGTATGCAAGAATGCACTTCTAAGTATAGCCTCCATGTCTCAAATTAAGAGCTTACATTCATAAAGTGAAATTCTGTGGATCGTTTCATAGCTAAAGCTGAGCTCATCAGAATTTAGGTGAACCTGAAAATTAATAAATTGGCATATTTGCTGTAAATGACAATGGATTATTTCATGCTTTTACCAGCTGATCCATCTGGATTAGATCCTGTAAAAGTTCAGCTACAGCTGTCTTCACTGAAATTGTAAAGAACTAAATCATAATCCTGATATGAAATAAGCCTTCCTCTTCTTAATGCCACTAGCCCCTGTGGGAGGTTGGCTTTGTAATCAATAATATAGGCACATCCCCTGCTCATGTTATGTGGATAACTCCAGCTGCCATGTCACTTTTTACAAAGGTATCATTTATATTCACGAAAACAGCCACATTGCTCAGCACTTTTAATTGAATGGAGCCTGAATTTTGTCAGTCGTATATCCAGTTTCCAAACAATCACCAAGATGACGGAACTGATTGTAGATAATCAAAGCATTTAAGGGAATCAGGCATCTCTTTTCCCATAGTGTGGGGTTACAGCACTCTGTTATGTAATATTGTCAGGTCATCCCATGGAGAAGGCAGAGCCACAGGAAGCAGTATAAAGGCAAAGAACGTAGAAGAGACAGTCATCACTGGAATGGACTTCAGAAACCCTACCTGACTAATAAGGGCACATTTACATGCATCTTCCGGCAGGTCACTTGCTCAAACATCACACCCCAGGACCTGCAGCACCTTCGCTAAGCAGTGTGCTAGAAAAATACTACTTCAGTCGGCACTACTAGACTTCAGTGGGACTACTGGACATTAGCTTACCTCTTGGTGTCTTGGCCAAGTCCCTCGCCCTCTTATTTAGCCCTGTCCCAGGAACCTAGATCTTCTCAGAAATGGAGAACTTCATTTACACAGTTTCCATCTTTGATAAAAATTGGAGTTCTGCCATTTTTATGAGACTATCTACTTTTTTAAGTCCTTGTTTTAAAGTCCTCTGCAAAGACACTGGTTATACAGAAGACAAAAACAGAAAAGGCTAAATAAAAACTCAAGGACTACGTAGCAAATGGTCAGTCATCTCATTTTTGCTCTTTAGGAAACCAGATTTTATAATTGTAGTGTTGGGTAGTGTTTCCTTTCCAAATACATCTTTTTGCCACTCTAGACATAATTCTGGAAGTTGTCTTATCCTGTAGGCAGTTATAATATTGTAAATATAGTGAGGTCCCCAGCTAGGGGTCACATCAATCCATCCATGTCTGAGGGGCAGAGGTGAGCATGGTGTCCCTTAGAGATGAAAAAATTTACTGAAGTTTCTGAATCTATTTCTCAGATCTGGAAGATAGTTTCTGCGGCTATTTCAAGCAAGGGAGCAAACTCTTTCACCTTCTTTACCTTTAGGATGCAAATAGATGGTTACACAAGAGAGAATCTTCCTTACTGTTTCCTTGCTGTGATATACCATTTGTAAATTTTTCCATAGAAAGGAATTATCTCAGTCATTAGTCCTTGCTGCAGCCTTAACATATTAATACATGGAACTGCCTGGAATGATAAGGCAATGACCTAATAACGCTGAAGTTCTTTGGTTCTAATGCAAACTCAGATTTTAAATTAGGAAAGTGTATTAAAAAATCCTCTTTAGTCAAAATTGGAAGCAAATGGATATTAAGTTATTGGACAAGGGATCCTAATGAAAACTGCTTACCATAAGAGAGTTAAAACATCATTCAGTCACCATGAAGAGGTCCAAGACTTTCTTTTATGTTAGATCTCAGAAAAAGAGACAAGTTTATGGCAGTAAATGCAGTTTTGGGAATGCACTGAAAGCTTATTACTAGCTCTGCTTTCTCTTATCTGACAGTATCAAAATTCAGGATTCCCTCTCTGAATGTCAAATCAATGCAATTAATGCAATTCCTTCCTCTGCTATATTGTAGCCATTCCTGAGCGTTGCAGATTAAATATGTTTCCTTAAAGTGTGATTTTGGCATATGAAAAAGACAGCTTTGTGAATGTTGCACACATCCTTCTGAAAACTTATTATGCTGTATCTTTAAGCTGATCAGGGAATATTAAAGGGATCACCTTTTTATTATTATTATTATTATTATTATTTTCACATCAGTATGACCTCAGGAAGATATCAATAGATTTAACATAATGCTAAGATATTAATAAAGGAATATGATTATGACACCAGCAACCATTATAGAAAAAACTAATGAACCTGTCAAATTTATCATCAGTTCTAGACACACAGAATAAAGCATGACATTGTACTGAGCTACGAACCAGAAATTATATGGGCCTCATCCTATCTGAATCAATAAAAAATGCCATTTTTTCTCCATAAACTTTCAAAGTCTTAATGTATCTAATTCCTAAAAATATCAATTCTGTGCTTCCGTTGAATAGTTACCTTCTTTGTCTAATATCAGTGAAATTGCAGAGAATAATTGCAGAATATGTAAGAAATGCATCTGTCTGACATTAAAAAAAAAAGAGACAACTGTTCTATTTGTTGAAACAGTTTATTTAAAAAAATCAGAAAAATATTCTTTGTTTATGTTCTGAGCAAAACATAAATGACCTCTAGTGAATGCTATGAAGAGGAAATGATTTCTGCATTTATAGAAAGTGTAAAGGCCGCCAAACAACATTTTGTATACATCAGAAATTATTTATCCTACTGCAATCTTTTCTGACAACAAGGTAATTGCTTCAATAATACAAAAACTAGAAAATAGCTTTTGCTACACAAATCTCAGTAGTACATAAAATGGAAAGCAGGTTATACCTATTGAACAGAAAATCATATTATGAGGAATATATTTCTTTGTAACACCATTCTTTCCTTATTGAATTCAGAAGATGATTTCACTTACTTCTGGAGAATTTTTTTTTCTCAGTTGTTACCTGAAAAGATATATACTATTCTGTACTATATATATTCTATACTTATTAGTAATGCACATCATGGATGACTACAATTTTGCATCACATCAGAAATGCTCCTTTTCTTTAGAAGTAAATAAAAAAGAAGATCAAAAAGAGCAACAAACATTGAAAATTCAACATCAAAAAGAATGAAAAATATCTACAAGCCACATCAGAAAAAAGTATAGCGCCCCTAGTGCCAGAACAATCCTTGCAGTATGATCAGAGGTGGGTTGCTAATGAGTCGACTGTTACATAAGGAAACTCCTGCTCTGTAATCCTGTTAAATGAGCTTCCACCCCCCAGAAAGAAAACATTTTTGGAAAGCTCTTTGATGTGCCTTCCTATATGATAGCCAGGACCTCTTTCTGCCCTTGATGAGCAGATCAACACATGACAAATGTAATGAGGAACATTAACCAAGGAAGAAACTGCGGGTTCTGCTACTGCAGTGATATGTGGAGTTACGATTTGCTGAGCAAATAAACTAAGGCAGGACTGTGGCAAAGTGAGGCTGCTGCCTGCTTTGTGGCCTCATCTCTGTGTCACAAGCTCCTTGAACAAATTTATTGTAATATTCAAGCAATAAAGCAGAAGGTACTTCCTTAATTCATATCTCAGTCTGATGTCCTAACATTTTTGGATGTTCTTCCTTCCCAATGCACTAAATTGCCTTACAGATCTGGGGTATGTGGTGGGTCTATATGCAGCCTATCTGGGCAGTTTCATGTTTGTGCTTAGTTGGACAACTTCCCGGACCTTGGAAGGATGTGGATTCAGGTGTGAGGATAGGGAGGAACCATGGCAGCTGACAGCCTCTGGAAAATTAGGAGACCAGGACTGCAAAAAGCACTATAAAGAGCATCTTGTTGGAAACATAGATTTAGGACTACTGATAGCACAGTTGGGGATACATATTATAGGTGTTAATCCCTTCTCTTGAACAGTATGCATCCCAGACCTAAAAAGGTAAATGCTCCAACAGCAGGGCATTGGGATTGCATGTCCCAGATAATTGTACCTATGGCTTCAAGATTTGTTCACCAAGAGCATAACAACATTGTCCTCAAAGTTCTTCTACTTAACATTTCACTGCAGCTCTGGAAATTGCTTCTTATTTGGTATAATCTTATTTGGTATTAAAATGACTGAGCACTCTAGCTAGGTACAGTTTGTTTGAGTGGTTTGAGCTGGTAAAATGGCCCTAAAAAGAATGAATACTCCCTTTCCTTCTGATGTAAAGCTGATTCAGAGGCATGAAAACAGAAGAAAGCAGGGGAATCATTTACAAATATCAAAGATTTTCAAAAACAAATTATGAGGGACACAGACAAGGGATTCTGTTGGGCCTATCATCAGTGATAAGATATTGATGTAGCATGACACAACAAAGAAATACAATAATAATAATCTTTTCATCTTGCTCAGTTTTTCATGTTCTCCATAAGTGTCACACCTTCTTTTGAGTATTAAGATAGAATAAAGGAAGTAAATGACAGTTTCAGATGGAGCGTTTTTGATAAATACAAGTTGTTTCAGTGAAGGTTTATTGTCTCAATTTTTCTTAATACAGAACCCAGCGCTGCTCCTGTTGATGTCAAAGCCACGAGTTTGTCTGTATCAGAGATACTTGTTGTGTGGAAACATATTAAAGAAAGTCTAGGAAGACCACAGGGATTTGAGGTATGAACATGGAATATCATAATGAGAAATCTTGTTACTTTTGCTAACACTGCACTCTGCTAACATATGACATCGTGAAGCTTGAATAGAAATTATGCACATTTTAGCACAGACACGTCTAGCTGGAGAAGGATGGTTGCAGCTGCAGCACTGACACATCTTCTTCTATTTATTTGTGCTTTAAAATCATTCAACAGTAGTTCTTATAATGTCTTTTTGACACTTTAAAAAGAGCTGAAAGAACTGCAAGTGACCCAGTGTGCCTCTTTCGCAGGCTGGGGAAGATGAGGTATTGACTGCTTCCAGCTCTAAGTGACCAGTTCAAACTTGTTATTTAGTGAGAGCTATCAACCTGCAGAGATAAAACAGCCCCAGCCTCCATGTGCTGTCATCCAGCAGTGGCCTGGGGACATTTGCTGGGCATTTCATAAAAGTCAGATGTGAGGAGGGTCACTGTGAGCAAACAAAGCTCCACTTACTTGCTCTAGCTCTAACAGACCTTCCCAGGCTTTGGATGCAGTAGTTGTAGTTCTGCATTCACTATGGAATCCACAGAGCTAGGAGGAGGTGAGATGTATCACTAAACACAACTGACCTTGTGGTTTAGTCTGTTGTGACTCTCATAAGATCTTAATATCATGGAGAGTCCAACGAGAGACTGATTTGAGAGTGCAGTTTAAGTGGCCTCCTTTAGCCCTTTAGGGTGGGAAAACTCCTTCCTCCTTTCTCCACAATAACTATGAAACGAGGGTAAACGAGTAGATTTGAGCCAGCTACCAATGTTACAGATGTCTGAAACCAAATATGATAAAACCATAGACGAAGCCACATTAAAGCAATTATTAATATTATTAATAACAAAGACTAAGTGTCTTGGCTTTCCCAAAAAATATGTTCTAATATAGGTTACTACTATTGACAGCTTTCTAAACTCAAATTCTGCACAGTGTTTATTTTTATTTTAGAATTTGAGGAATGTTACATTCACCTCCAGAAATTCCTAAAAGAATTATCATCAAGGAAAAGGCTACGGGCTATAATTTTTTACAGCCTTCACATTGTCTTATTATTAAAGTTTGGTGAAAGCATGATAGAGCCAATATTAATGTGGATTTTTGCTCATCTCTGGCTTATGCCCACATTTAGTGATACTCCTAATTCAAAAATTCTGTAGAAAATTAATTGTAGGAGTTATGTAAGTACTTCCAGCACACAGGGGATATTTTTTTTACTTTGAAGAAAGATAGCCTCTGAGACCATGATGTCCTAATATAGCCCTCACTTCCCTAGGATAGCTGTTTATCTACTTAACTTGATTTACTCGGTCTGGGTCAGGTTGAGAGGCAAGTACTTTAGGTAAAAGATTTTTAAGCAAGGCATGTTCCCTTGATTTTTCCAGTAAGGAATTACCTCTTGCATCCTCTTGAATCATTCTTTGATTTTTCCTTCCTGTAAATCATGATCCAGATGCTTAGATATTTCATTACTTTCTTTTACCAAAGAAAGCCCTAGCTTGGCAAAACACATTTTTCTTAATACAGAGAAAGGAGCTTTTTACGTCTTCAGCTAAACTTACATAAATAGAACGTTAATTCTTAATAAATCCACATTTTCATTTTCTATTCTTTTTAATCGAATGGTCACAGACTCACACTTAAACTCAGCATTCCTTAAAAGCATTCTAGGACTATTATATTTATCATCCCCTAAGATTTTCTTTAGAGCAGGGTTATAGCCTAATTGAAAGTTCACAACTGCAGCATCCTTGCCTTTATTACTGTATTTAACAATCATGTCAAACTAGACAGTGCCAAGATGGCATTGCCTATACCGTACTATAAAACTCAGAGATAGACTCTTGCTCTACGGTTTAATCTCTGTAGATCAGTTTTAACAATCGTATGGGCTACTTTTAAATCTTGTGATATTTTAGGCACACAGTGGCCTCCCCCAGCAGCACTTGTGGACCACACGTGGCCACTTGGCCTCTTGCTGCCACCACTGGTGGCCCTTGAGAGGAAGTGCCAGTGCATGGCCAAGGGACAGCACTTTTAGCACAGAGTAGTCAATTAGCTATAAAAACACATATTTATCTTTTTATTACTTTATTTTTTATCTCATCTGCTTTAGCTCCATCATACTTAGGCAGTTTTGTACTGTTCCCCAGTGGAGTCCTGTCAGTCCATGAGCACCATCTGTCCCCTCTGGTCTCTTGGTTGTCCTGGTTTCTTTCCTAGGCTGTCCCTGGTCTCTTTCTCCATGCCAAATTCAGCAAACCATTTCTTAGTTCTGTCTCAGTGTTTTAGCCACACTTTTGCTCTACATTAAACACATTTTTACCCCATTGCACATGGCTTACCTCATCCAGCAAAGGTGATATCTAACGGCCTTCCCTTTAGAACCGCTATATATAAAAACAGCAAGATTACATCCAGTAGTGATGATGTTCACCCTGCAAGCATTAATCCTCTCCATTCTGAAGTGTTCCACTTGCTACTAAGCTTTGTTTTCAATTTCCAAGCTAGTCTTTTATCCTCCGAAATAACTTGCTCACTGCACCCTGTCTTTTTGTCTTCAGAAAGATGGCTTTTTTGTTACTCTCCTTCAGGTATCTTGATGTCTCTTAAATGATACCTACTATTTTCACTATTACCCTCATTCCATCAGTCACAGTGATCCTCAAAATATTCTATTTCTTGCACCCTTTTAAAATATATATAAAAAAACAGATTTTCTTTCTCAAATGAAAATGATTTCTCTAGAAGTATATTTTAACATAATTTGAATGTGTTCTACATTTACCTGCTTGTCACATAATACCGCCCTTAGCTCTATAGGTGTACGCTTGTAAGAGATGACTGTGAGTGCTAGTTCATTGGACTCTCTCTTAATATCAGACAGAGCCCTCCTGCTTTGGAAGGTGTTCAGACCTCGGGAGTGCAGCCTACTCTAATCTCCAACAGAAACACTCATCTGCCCTATTTCTCTGATGGACATCTTAGGGATGAATTTGGCAATTGTTATTGATCCAGCAGTTGGTAAATCCTATCCCCTAACAAAAAAATTAGACAAAATATGGGTCAGCTTTTTGCTTTCCATCATGATTCATTTTCTTTAGCTTCTACGCACATTAATTTAATTTACAACGGGATTTTGAAAATATTATTGTGATTAGTATACTGTAAAAAATAGCCTGCAGTGCTCCTTTAATACACAAACAGTGAATAGATAATGTACAAAAATCCAGTGGCTTTGAAAAATATATAATAATTTATCATTTTTTAAAAATATATTTTTTCTTATTATGAGTAACTGTGGGAATTGTGGACCACATGTAGAACACTACCTTCAACACTCACGTTGTTGAAACCTATGCAAAATAATCTGCCTGGCAAAATATCAGTCAAACGCTATAACTTCAAATCTCAATCTGTATTCTGCCAGTGGTCACTACAGCAGTGACAACCACTTACACAGTCTTCACATTTCCTGTGTTTTTAGCAACAATATTAAAAAAGGAAGCTGCTTTAAAAAAAAAAAAATTGAATGTTCGTGCTCTAATCAACAAAGGTGATGGAGTATTTACTACATATGGACAAGTCAGCAGTGACCCAGTTCCAGTCCCAGCCCTGTGGGCACTTTGTATTAAGGAGTAATGAAAGGCAAAAAGTAACTTGTCCAATTTCACATTGTCAAGTCAGAAAGGCAGCGTTAACTGCTATGTCACACGAGTTTTGTGCAAGGTTTGCTGGACTCATTTCCATCTTCCAAAGCACATATTATTCCTGACTTCAGTACAGATTTGTCAGCTGTACACCTGACCTTACTAAATAGGTGCCAGCTACACTTTGATAAAGTAGAAGTGGCCTGTAAACTTTGTCAGATTAGTAGAAAAATATACTGTGTGGATAATACCTATTCTTAGAATCTGTAACCAGAAGGTTATAAAATCTATTTCAGCCTTTGTCAATATTTTCATTTTTCCTCACTTCTTGTAGGAAAAGGAAAGGATTACTGGCCTAACATGCCTGATATTTCTGATTCTGATTTTCCTTGCTCATTTCCAAAAGATCAAGGCTAATACTGAAGTATAGATAACAAAATTGAAGTCTTTGTCCCTGGAATTCCCTCAAGAGACAATAACTTGAATAATCTAATAAAAAGATCAATTTGCAGCAGAAATTTGTAAGAAATAGAAAATCTTGATTACCTTTTTCAGAGAGGATTACTGGACTTACCTAAGCCCTGTCTTGTTTTTCCAAAGAGAAATATTTGACAATGAGGTTTTGTGCCTTATATAGACTTCATCTGGACTATATTGGAACAGAAAATTATGTCTACATGGCAATGAAATGCTGAGTGGAGTATACACTATAGCAGTTTAGAAAGAGTATGCGAATATCTCTACTTAAGGCTGGAAAAGCAAGACAGAAAAAAACAAGAGTAATGAGTGTCTCAGAAGCCTGAGCAGCAGTTTACTAGACTTTACTTTTGCGATGAAGAATTTTCCCAAACATGAAAACAAAAATGGGATATTCATAAATATAAGTCAATTTAACTTACAAAGCTATTCATATGCAGATTCAAACTCCTCTAAAATCCTGAAGACTGTAAACATTTCCTACAGTGTAAGACTCAGGTCATTTGCTTTCCAAGTGCTAATGGTGCTAATGAATCAGGCTGTAAATCTCTCATGAGGGCCTCAAGAGAGCCACATGCTTCATATAGTCTGTATCATCTGTGTCATTAGAACTTTATTAGTTCTCTATTACCTAAAAGCAGAAGCTTAGCTAATTGTTAATTTTTAAAAAGGAAATATGACTAGATCCTTGATGATATTTCTCAAGGTCAAGGTATGATATCTATCTTTGTCCCATCTCAATACAGGAGTATGAGGAAAAGCAAGTACATGAGAAAAGAGGAGGCAGCAAGCTACTTTAGATAAGACCCCCAAACCAAAATGTACTGATAAGTGTTTTCCTTGCTGTTTCCAGTCAGCAATTTTTTTGGTGGGAGTGAAAGACTGGGGCTGACTGACCTTTCTCAGGAACCTCTAATTCTAAAGAGCAGTCCCATCAGCTTTCTTTTGTGAACAAACCTATAATTAACAACAACAACAACAAAAAGTATGAGATAAATCTCTTCTGAGCAGTGCAAATTAAGGCTATAGAAGATAAGATTAAATAAAAAATGTAAATATATTCATATTCAAACTGCCTGTGTTAAGAATCATATCCAGCACTTTTAAAACATCAGCAGTGTCATCATCTGTTCAAACGGAAGTAAGATCTCCCAACACTGACCTTAGTCAATAATCATTTAACTTCTTTTTTCTTTTCATAACCCTATTTTCTTCTAGTTCATTTTGCTATCAACAGATGTGCTTGTGCATGAAGAGCCTGAGCGAAAACCCTATTTTGAGATCAAAGTCCAAACTTACCTGGCAAAAATTTAAGGGGAATTTTAAAAGAAGGTACCAGCCATTTAAAGCTTTGAAGTATCAGGGAAGCTGGAATAGAATCAATGCCGAATTGCATTTCATGCTTTTGCTGCTTAATATGGTATATTCAATCCCCTAGGAACGACCCTTTGCCACGGGGAATACCCGTGTTGTGTGGTACAGCAGAAATGGTAGGGAACATGCCATGGTTATTTTTACAGAGTTAATGTATGCAAAATATAATTAGTCTCTGCATTGATGATGCCATTGAAGTAGTGTTGGAGAGCATTTCTAAACAAATGAAAAAAAATCAAAAGGTCTGTGTTATACTTCTATCTTTTCTGCCATGGTCATGAGTTTTAATATCTATGTATTTCTAACACTAGTAGTTCAAGTTTCTAGAACCAATAGCTCAGGAATGTTGCAGGAAATCACCTTTTCACTACTTATTTATATTAGAATAAAATAGCTCTAGTGCAAAAGCTGGGGCTTTTGAGGCTGTTGAGCTCACTATAGTTTCATTTCTGGTTTTCCCTTATCTATTTTTTCAGAACGTCAGTTACATTTCTACCCCCACTGTCACCTTGTGTAACCTTAGACAAGTCCCTCTCCCTTTTGCACTATTTCTCTGTCAGATCTTCATCACTTTGGACTAATTAGACTGCAGAGTCTCCAGGACATGTACTCTTTCTCACTAGCCATTCATGCAGTGCTTAGTACTCCGTGGCTCTCATCAGTGTGGTTTCCAGGCTGTACGGTTGTATTACAGGAAAAATGAAAGAATCTCACTCACCAGCAGACAACAGGGCTCAGTCCTACTGTGTGAATAAATGGTTGCTGATTCTTTTTCCCTTGTAAGAATGGCATAAATAGCTGATACTAAAGAGAAAACCAGCACAAACCAACCAAAATATTTCAGTGAATCATACCTATTTCTGCAGCTGGAGTTGCTATGTTGCTATGTTAAAAAGCAACATTTGACATGAGATAACACAAATGCACAAAAAAGATATATTTACATTATTTTTACAGTTAAAGAGGTAGACCTGCACCATAATTTTTTAATTTTTAAATGTTTTTGGCACAAACTGATATGCCTTCCATCAAAATTAAGAAAGCAACTTTACTCAAATGTAAATATGACATCAAATTTGTACTGTTACAATCAGGTCTTTTTAGATTATTTTGTTTAAGGTGGTGATCCTCATGTAATTATAAAAGGTCAGCACTGTACTCATTGATCTTATTTTCCTATGAATCAGCTGGGCTTTTTTGATTCATCATTTTCTGTGATGCATTCTCAGGAGTGCTGCATTGCCCGTGACCTTTCTCAGAGGAAAAGTTATCCATATATAATATGAATAACTTGCTATGAATTAACCAGTTTCACAGAAAAGGTCAAAATGTGGTACAAGTACATCTCAGCATGAATACTGGTAAGCTAAATGCAAGTCTTTGAAAGACACATTAGTGACAATTTCTGTTAAGGAAAAATTTGGCCCAAAGAGAATTTCCTTACTTGTGTAAGTAAGACCTTAAATACATTAACTATTAAGACCTAAATATATTAGCAAGAGGCTGTACCTTTTTTACAGTCACATCCTGGAAATACCTAGTCCCTGAAGGACCAGAAGAGAAACAGGTAGCTGAATGCTGTAGACTCTTTGGGATTGTGATAAACTCAGTGTAGATACCAGAAATCATGCCCTAAAAACCACTAAAGGTCATTTAGGCTTTTTATGTGTAAAAATGAAGGGCCAAAGCATGTTGTCAAAATTAGATTTGACAGATCTTATTTATACCCAAGTAAATAAAACTGAATCCACTTCCTTCTTTTTTTCCTTCAGATAAGATTAATTCAGTCTATTTCTAGATTTCTTTAGGTGTTCTGTCATTTCCTACTCATTACACCGATAAGAAATCTTGTGCCTCTGTCTTATATATGGGTACAGGAAGGGAACGTTGTTCACGCCATTTCTTAAATGATTCAGTCAGTCTTTCAGGATGAAGGGCAGATGTTTCTGATGACCTGTGAGAGGCTGAGCTCTCCTTGGATATTCTCTGAAATGCTTTTGACTCTCTGTCAGTTTTCATCCCCTGTTCTTCTGTCTTGGTAGTCACAACTTTTCATGCCAATATAAAAGTGTTTCAACATGCTTTAAGTAATTCAGAGATATTCTGAATCTCACCTTTTAGGAGGTGTGAGTATTGTTGACTCCGAGATTAGATTACAGCTCCCACCTGTTTAAAAGGACCTGATTGCCAAACAACAGGCAGGACTGTTGAAAAGAAAGGAAAGCAACAACAACAAAAACAAAAGATAAAAAGTAAAGCATAAGTTACCTAAATACCCCCATGCCTACATTAATCCTTTGTGTACTCACTTGTTGGCAGGTTGATTACTGGAAGGACATGGAGCAGGAAGAAGCAGCAGAAAAAGTCAAAACTGCGGGAAATGAATCATCCATCCTCCTGACAGGATTGGAAGGAAACACATTATATCACCTAACCGTGAGGGCATACAACGCTGCAGGGTATGGACCACCGAGCACTGCGGTGCGTGCAGCGACCAAGAAGTCTCGTAAGTGACCTCAGCACCTTTGCTCAAAGGGAGAAGTTAGCAAGCAGCATCTGCCCTCTTGGGTTTCCCTTTAATGCAAGTATAAAAATAATGTGGTTTCAGATATACTTTTGACTTTACATTCATTACAAAGGCTAGCTTCCTAGAAAACAAAGCTGGGGGGTTTTGACAGAGAAAAGAGATGATAAGAGAATATAAATTCATAAGCTCCTAGCATATCTATTAAAAAACCTTAACAAACTCCAGCTAGTTATGGGAGTCTTCTGATGTAACCAGCTGTAAATGTAATAAAAGATTGAAATATTTCTGTTTTCATTTTTAAAAAGCTATCTATAGGTTTTATTTATGTACATGTTGGTATTTCTTTACTCTTCAGCTCCCAGCCAAGCACCAGGCAATATTATGTGGATACAAGATGGGTCTCACGTGTCTCTTGGATGGGAGCCAGTCAGACCTCTAGCTAATGAATCTGATGTAATGGGATACAAGGTCAGTACTTCCCCTTCCTTGCTCACCTTCCTCCCTTCCAAACAGTCAGACTTCTTTCTTGTTTGCTGTTTTTTTCATTTCTTGATTTTTTTTCCTGTGTAACTAAAGTATGCTATGCAGATTTTCTTAAATCAGATTTTCACCAGAAAAAGAAAAAAAGCAATAAATAAAACTGAAAGGAGCAAAATGTCTCAGTAATTTCTCTGTTGTGATCTTCAACTACTGATCATAAACTGAGTTGCTCTGAGGGGATCACTTTACCTCTGGTCTGGAGTGGCTTTTAATAAGACCAGACTGCAGTGAAATTCCTACTAACACTTCAATTTAACTGTGTTTGCAGTAGGATTTAGAGAAATGCAAAAGAATGTGGCATCTTAAATGCCATTAAAATTATGGAACAGAAAAACAAATGCTTAGGTTTGTTTTGTGATTATGGTGGTGATATTAAGTGCCTATAACATCTGGCATTTAAAGTTTTGAAGTTTTAAAAAATCCAGATTAACCCCTAAATAATAAGTCATAAAAGGAAAGAGAATTTACTGCAATCTTTTACATCAAAATAGAATGATATCAGTTATTTTGATGAGTATTGACCTTTTTATGTTAAAGCATAGATATAATTATTTCTACAGACTACATTCTGTTATTTCCTCTGATATAAAAGGGAGTATCACCAAGAAAGTATAGAAGTTGATAAAAAAAAAAAATAGAAGTTGATTCAAGTAAACCAGAAACTGCTTTAACCTTTATCAAAATAGTTGAGATTCAGAAAAAGTTTGGGAAACTGCTTTAAAGTTTTACAATGCTCTGACCTTTTCAGTTTTGTCTGGGAACAAAAAGTCTTCTGCAGAAGCACCAAAGAGACAGCAATGGATGCTATTCCATTACTCCTACTTGGAATAAGCAAGTCCTGAGTTTCACAGCAGGTGCAGGGATAGACCTGAACTACTCTCAAGTGACTTAGTTGGCTAAGGTAAAGCTAGTAAAGATTTTATTTAGGCCATTTTCTTTACCTTTGAAGATGGATTCTAGAACCAAGAAGATGAATATCCTTATGAATTTGGGGACATGAATTCGAAACCCAAAAGACATTTCTGAAGACTGCTTGAAAATTCACACCTACACCTGGAGAGGGCAAATCCTGCATCTTTTGCTCTTTTTTATATCCATTAATTGTTAGTAGACTCTGCTGATAATATATTCACAGAATTACAGAATGTTTAGGGTTGAAAGGGACCTCTAGAGACCATCTAGCCCAAACCCCCTGCTCCAGCAGGGACACCTGGAGCACAGGGCACAGGGTGGCATCCAGGAGAGTTTGGAAGATCTCCAGAGAAGGAGACTCCACATCCTCTCTGGGCAGCCTGTTCCAGGGCTCTGTCACCCTCACAGGAAAGAAGTTCTTCCTCATATGGAGGTGGAACTTCCTGTGTTTCAACTTGAAAACTTTTTTTTTTTTTTTTCGGAAGGGTAGGGGGAAGTAAAAGCACATAACTTGAAACTGAAATGTCATTTTCAGAAATCTTTAGTGAAAGCCTAAAAAAGTTGCTCTTTCAATGGCTGTGTTACCTACACAAAAGGTCTGGTATAACGCTTGAATGACCATTATAATTTTTAATCTATCTCCTTTACTGACCATAGGTGTTATTTAGACAAGAAGGCCAGAGCAACAGTCAAGTTATAGAAACACAGAAAACCTCTGCCGTGGTACTCCTTCCTGACGTTGGCGTCTATATTATTGAGGTGTGTGCAGTCAGTGAAGGAGGAGACGGGACTGCTAGTCCTCAAATCAGAGTTCCATCTTTTTCAGGTAATTTTATCTGTATATTTGGAAGAGTGGTGATTATAGCAACACTAAGAAAAAATTAACACCGTTACACTGTACTTGAAGAGAGAAATGTTCTCAAAACTGTGTAGCTATTTGTTAAAATCATTAATCAGTATCTTTTGTTATATTAATGTGTCATGAAAGAAAATATGATCTCACAACAGGATAATGGCTACGTATTTGCTAAATGACAGTACTCTTGACGGCTGGTCTCATGGAGAACCTAAATTAGTCGTCACGGGCTTGCAAACCTATGGGTTTCTCAGTCACTGATACGATACGATAACAATGCACAAAGCCTTTAGTCATAGCATATTCTGGAAATATTTCATATTGGTAGCGAGACAAACAAAAAATGACAGAAGTAAAGGAGGATATAGAAGAGCTCTTATAACCAGACCAAAGAGTTATATCAGAGAATGGTTAGACCTGCAGAGAGTGATTGATGCCACCTGTGGTCGGATTGGTGAGGAGGAACATTTGTTTCCTCTTGAAATAGTCCAATCAATACTAAAAATGTCCATGATAATAGATAAAATATTTTCAGTAATTATTTGCTTGTTTCAATAGTCTTATGTCTATGCAAGTTCACATAGCACTTAGCCAAGGCCAACTATAAATTTCATTATGGAGCTATGGTTTTAATGTCTTTGAACAAAGTGCCAAATGTAAGTGGGTGATTGCTTATTAGTAAAGGCTAGAAATCTATTTCTCTCTCCCAAACTTCTGGGAAGCATCTGTCATCATTTCCTTATTTTGTCAAGAATAATAGAAAAATATCTGGAATACATATTGAGGCACTAAAAGAGCTTGGCTCTACTATGGAGAAGCCTACCTATTACATACCAATGGAAATAACAATTATCTATCAGTCCCTTTACTTGTTAGGTCCCATGGGACCAAATCCCATGGTCAAATAGTGGTTCATGTGACAGGAAAACACAAAAGAGCAAAGCGCAGCCTAGCAGTACAGTCACATATTAACATAATATCATGTAGTTGCCAAGAAATGGAATTGAAATACACTCAAACAAAAGTAAGACAGAGGTGCTGGTATCACAGTAAACACAGTAAGCATGTCTTATCAGCAATAAAAGACACCAGAAGTACAGGGGCTCTACCCCTAGCCATATATATTGACTTTCTACAAAATCAAGTTCGTGATGTCATTTTCCGTATCCATGTTATTGTTCTTGATCCAGAGGCTGGAAAACCGAATTAAGATCATAATATTTGTGTTAAATAACCTCTCCTCTATCTTAAAGATATCATTCCTCTATCTTAAAGATATCATTATGATAAAGATAATGATAAAGGTATAATTACCCCAACCACAAACTGGCATTTTACAGCATTTTCAGCCCCCAAATATAGGGTCATTGAAAATGTAGCTAAGCTATTTGAAATGCTCAAGAGCAGGAGAGACATCCATATGGGGGCTAATAAACAAGAGAGGATTTATAAAAGACCTGTGCTTGCCTAGGGTATCATCTGGAAGCCTGAAGGGATACTCCAGGGTATCCTACTTACCATTCAACATAATTTCACTATAATTGTCTACATGCAAACTAGGTTTCTCCCATACCATTACAGATAGCTCAAATATAATCTGTACAGACAGTGCCTCCTAGACAGCAATTCAGCTGTCCATTCAGGGGACAGAATTGAAATATTTAGACACAGGTACTTAGGGGCATCTGAAATGCCCCAAGATATTCAAAATGTTTGAGCAGAAGTTACAGATATGATGTAGGACTTACATCCTGGAGACCCACATTATTCTGGACCACCATCAAGAGGTATAACATCTAACACAGCTAAAATAACACTGCATGTCTGTATTTAGATCTGAATCCTGCTGTATATGTTGGCTGTAGAATAAGATGAGTACCTGTACAGGTTCTATTGATTCACTAAAGCAGATATTCCTTGATTGCAGGACTTTGACATTCTGTTCACACAGGGGGAACACATAAAAACTTTAATTTAGGAACTCAATTCAGCTGCATAAATAAGTGCATTCAGTGCCATGAGTAGCTGGGATATCACAGGACATCTCCAGTTACCGTTCACAGACGTGCTATAGGCTTTGGGCCACACATGGCAGATACCTGTGATAGCTCAGATACCACTTGCATCACAAGTGGAATTAATGAAAATAGGATCATGCTCACTTGTTTTCATCTCAGCATTTACTACTGTAATGTTCTATTACAGTATTAAAGAGTTATCATGAAGTAATTCATACTCACTACATTCTATTCAGTTGACTGCAATATGTTGAGTGAATTTAAGGTTCCTTAAGGTAGGAAAAGAAGAATTAATGGGAAGAACAACCATCAAATATTTTAGCTATCCTTTCTTACATGCCAGTAGTCAGTTCCCATTGTTTTTTACCTACCTAAGTGAGGTATCTGATTTCTAACTTTCTGCTAATCACTATGACTTACTTTAAAATTCCACTAAACATTGTTTTTTAGTCTGTAAGGAATACAGACCTAAAGGCCTAGACCTAAAATTTTAGCTCTGATCCACAAACTACAACGCTAGTCTATCATTAAAAGGCAGAAGATGCCAATCCCTAATCCGCTTAAATATTCGTTTCCTCTATAACTTGAGCCCTAACCAATTCCAAGTCACAAAATCTTTCATTCCCTTTTACTTGATATATTTTTGATTAGACTATGCACAACAGGGCAGTATGGCTTAGGACGACCATGACTGTGGTATCACAACAAAAGGTGTTCAAAGAAGACAAAGAAATATAGACTCATCCAGCCCTTTTCCCTGATGTGTTATCACTTCCAGCCCATAGCATTTTCTTTTTCATTGCAGTAGCATTTTTTTATTTTTAAGGAATTGTGCCTTGACCTAGCGAAGTCACCAGGTTGCAGGGAAAAAGAGCACTTTCTCCTCTGGACAAAAATCATGATCAAGGGCTACTTTCCATGCCTTGTTCCGGGAAAAAAATCTTGATATTAATCCAGAATGCTTTCTGCAGCCAAACTTTTTAACACTCACAACATAAAGCTCACACACCTACTGGAATTTCCTATTTATCTGTAGACTGTTAGATCTATAGACTGATATTTGTCTATAGACTGATATTTATAGCCTGACAGAGCATTTGAGTTTTTGTAGCTGCCATCATAAAAACTGTAACTTCCTCATGCTGTAACTTCCTCAGGGACCCAAGTTTGACATAATAGGTCTTACAATATAATGTTGTGCCTAAAAATTAGATTTTTCCTAAACACAGAACAAAAGCTATTGTTAACTGAATGTACTAAGAATCATTTGTATTGTTTGCTCCTTAATTTCTTTGCTTTTCCTTTTCAGGACGAAAAGCAACGAGTGCTCAATCCACTTTACATTCTTTCTCTACTTCCTCATCTTTTGTAATGTTGCTTTTGGCACTGATGGTTCCTTCAGCCTCCTGGTGAAGACTGAAAACCTCGTTATTGTTGTTGCTTGTTTGCTTTAGCTTGATGACAACCGAGGATGGAGTTTTATGTCTGTGGAAAAACTGGCAACCCAAGCTAATGCTCAAAGACCCATAGAAATACCTGTGGAGCACTGCGAGGAATGCTGGGTACATAGCCAATAATTCATCAGGTTTTTCTTTTTTCTTCAGTTATTTTTTTAAAGTCCTCTGGGTAGGGGACACTTTCTGGCCCAAAAATATGCAGATTGTATGTAACAAACTTTTGTAAGCAAATGTAATTTCTGTCAAATGTACTTTACTTTTTTAATACATTTAATTTGGTGACCCCTGTCATGTATCATTAGATGTTTAAACAGTGGTGTCTAGTACCGTATATCTGTTTGGTTTGGGAATTTTTTTTAAAAAAAAAGAGAAAAAAAGTTTGATATAGCTTTGTCTATTGCTTTTGTTACATTCCCTAAAGTTGACTGTTCCTGCCAACATGAGAATGAGAGAAATATATACTACAGATACATAGCCCACTGCAAAAGTACAGAGAATTTGATTTAAAAAGTTTGAATACATATTAAATTGGGAAAAGATTGTCAATGATATATTAGGCAGCACACTCACAAAGTGAGAAAATGGAGTAGAAAAGAACCTATTTGTTTTCTTGCAAGGTAGCCAGAAAATGTTTAAACACAAACTTAAATGGAAACAAGTGCTCTCGTTTTTCAAAAAATACCAAGCGATTTAATGTAAGAGGAATCAAGTATTTATTCTCAATAGCAAATACAAAGTATATTCCTAATGAAATGTCCACTGGGCATTTAGGCATATATTCAAACTACTACGTGGTCAAATAAAATAATGCAAACAGACAAACTTACTTTATCCCATCTCTTTTCAGTTGCAAACATTTTTTTTTCCTCTGGGTTCATTTTTTAGTACTTTCCATATTTGGTAATTAAGTTAAAGTATATATGAAACCATATTACAAAGAGAACGTTAACTGTTTATGGAATGTAGCCGTTCACACATAAAGACACCAATGGGATATGTTTTAGAGAGTGGGTCCTCCAAAAAAAGGCTTGGATAAGTACTACTGAGCATCACCCCAGTTATTTAGTTAACTGGCCTTATTTCTAGTTCATTGGGTAGAGATTATTCTTGTAGGGGCTGTGGGCTATCCTCTTTAATCACCTGTTCTTCTCTGCAGTACCAAAACTTTTTCTGCTGAATAGACAATTTGGACAACTTTTCTACATTTCAATCGGAAGATCTCAAGTGTAAATGGTGTGTGTGTTTGTGCAATATGGTGTGTGCGGTGTCATGAGGGAGGATATTTAACTACCGTCCATCTAGGGATTGTGCCTAGGGCGAACATCCCCTTGTCTGGGAAAAACCAAGTGTGTGATGCTAAGAGTTCAACAGGTAAGTCCTAATAGCGTGGTTTTCTAGCTGTCCATCCCTCTAATAGATTTGATGCAGGTCCGTTTCAGTTGATGGGTTCTGTGACAAAAATGTTATTATTTTAATAGTTTCACAGTACACTCCAGCTGTGCCCTTTCTTAGCACCTAGGCAAGAAAGTATGATGCCAATCATGTGCTTGGTAGATAAAGTTGACTGATGACTAAATTATTTTTGTCTTTTGTGTATTGTGCCGGTATACAATTTTTCAGAGATTATTCTGCTCATAGTCTTATTACACACTATTGAATCAAATTGAATCAAATCCAGAAAAGTTGTTTTAAATGTAATAAGTCATCATATTGCTGGAAAAGCAAAGGCAAGATGACAAGCTGAGCATGATCTCTTGTGTAGCTAGAGTCATAAGACCTTCTGTATCTCTGCTTCCAGAATAGCAGTTTGATCAGAGGAAGGAAGGCGGAATGAACCTTGTTGGTAAAGCAAACTCAGAAAAAGCTACATGCTGCAGTGTGCAAAACAGCAGTATTTCCCTTGTGCAAAGAACTTGCATTAACAGACCATTATTTTTCAGAAGATTAAAATCAACAAGAATAAAATAATGAACCAAAAAGCAAAATGGCTATTTTATAAATCAGCTAAGCATAATTCATTCTATTTTTTATACAGTTGCTTGCCAATGCACTACACTTCAGAGTATTCAGAAAGGTTACAGTCACTGCTGGTGTAAACTCTGGTTAAACAACTTTGTGAATACAAAAAGCAGTTGTACTCTGTAAGGTTAATAAAACTCTGCTAAAGAGATAGAACTGCATCCTGTTATATTGGAACCTGTAGTATCAAGATACAGATAAAAATACTGAATATACCATCAGGTAATGTAGTTGTATTGCAGGGACAAAAAGGGGTATGTTTTATATTCAACATGAACAGAATATGTATTTTGCATCTTAAATATATTAATAAACATGTTTTAAATGTTTAAGTACCTATGTATTACATATTTGTTACTTTGTAGAAGATGATGTTTTCATGACATTTGACATTTTATTTTTCAGCTGCAATGGAGATCTCTTCTTTTTTTCATGTCAAAGATTGTAATAATGCAGTCTAGCATCACTGAGGAGACTGTATTTTTGTACATGTCACAAGACTTGTTTGGGAAAAAATAGTTAGAAAGAAGCTTTATTTGAAAACCAAAAGAAAGATACTGTCACGGCCCATATCAAAATGTTAGATATATTGTATACAATCTGTATATATACTATATATAACGGTATATACTACATGTAAGACACAGTAATATAATAGTTCCTGTGTACTGTTCTTGTAACATTAGATCTTTTTAATAAATAATTCTCTTTTTATTGACTTTTACCTTATCTCCTGTCAGTTCTGAGTTATATTAATAGAGGACAGGGTGACCAGGGAATCCAACAAAAACAATCTTTTAATTACACAACTTTCAGGAGAAAAATGATGAATCTGCAATAGTTAATCTGGGCAATGGAACCATTAAAATCACGTAATGTTTGGCATCTTTCTAATTTCAAACATGTGTTGGTTTATCTGGTCTGATATGCATTTTATAATTAAATAATTGAAAGGCACAAGAAGGCTTGAACTATTGATGTGACAACTTTACCTAATAAACATTGCAGAATAAGTCTACAATATAAATTACCTTCTGAGATAAAACTTTCTGCATTTTTTTAAATCACAAACAAAGGTGCTATATAAGGAAGTCACCTCAGGTAGTCCATTATATACTGCAGTATTAAGGGGTTTCTGGGACCACTTTGACATTTGTAATGTTCTTCCAGGTGTCACTGGGACCCCATGGCCATTGAAGCACAAAGGCAAAGCATAACTCTATTGAACTCTCTTCTGTTGAAAAGCTTAGTTGCTTCGTCTTATACTTGAAACGTTTTATGTGAGAAATAACAAGGAAAAATCTTTCAGAAATACATATGTCCTTTTTGTGGGAAAAAAATGTAATCATGGCCAAAGCAATTATGGCAAATGCATTTCTTTTTTTTCGTAATTTTATTTGAGTTTTTAATAATCCCCAATCACTGCTTTATGAAATGCATATTTATAAGGGTAAATGACTTTGCAACACAGTAATAAGTCAAAAAGCTCATTCTGGAAATAAAAAAAGAGATTGCCACACTCACCAATGGAACTGAGACTTCAGTTACAAAATGACTGTTGCTTAAATAGCATGTTATATCAGGACTCCCATTAAATTAGTTATGAATGTTACAGAAAATGGTAATGACCTGGTTTTGCTGACATGGAGAACAGTACGTATTGAAAATCCATATCTTAGCAGAACTTCTATCAAACCGTAATCCACACTTGGCCTGTTATGGCCATCATCCCATTTCCTCTGAAGATGAAAAGCATTTTCCTTCTTAATTACTTCCTTACATTCTGCAGTAACACAATGTCTGTATAAGAGAAAATGAACCACATTTTACTACACTAGGTTAGCTGGCTCTAGACTGTTATCCGCAGCCTTCGGGGGCACGTCTGAACATGGGTTGCTTCCAAAACTACAATCCTGACTTTGCTATATCTGGAATTTTTCACTTGATTCCAATGAAAACAGGAGCCTTGGCTTTGCCTATATTGTGATACAGCTTTTTGATACTTCAAAAAAGATAACGATAGTGTATATGTATACTAAAGACTTGCAAACCTAGAGAAAAAATAATCCATGGGAAATTATACACAAGCTTACACATTATACACAAGTTTCATTATTCACAGCACTTATTGGAGTGATTAGCTGCTTAAGCAAACTGGCATAGATGTTTTGATACCAAACTCTTCTTTCCTGTGCTCCTTTTCTGCTGTCAGGTTATTATCATTCTTTTCTAACATAGAGAAAACTCTATGTTAGTAATTATGTTAGTATGTTAGAAAATTATGTTAGTATGTTAGAAAACTCTATGTTAGTAAAAATTACTGATGTTTTATAATCATTCTACCAGGAAAAATATGACTCCTTAGAAAAGAGAAAGAGATCCATGAAAGAGCTGAAAGTTTTCAAGGGAGTTAGGCTGTACAAATTCGTACAAGAGCTGCATGGGTTCCATATTAGTTTCAGACAGACCCAGATTAAACTACCTGAATTAAAACAGGTAGATCAGTGATGCAGCATAGCTCAGCAATACAGCCTGGAAGGAGATAATGGAAAGAATTTCAAAAGTGACTGAAAGTATAGCAAGTGAGAATGACAGATAGTCGGGTTAACATGTCTCCCTGTTCCAATTCAGGGTTTAATGAGAAGCAAATCATTCCATCTTTAAAATCACTGGAATTGCACTTGATTTGATGGCAGATAGACTGGAGTGATCCAGCAGGGAGTTATGGCCACAGTCTCTCAACTCTTTTCAAAGTTTTTTCAAATCGGTCAAAAACACGAACACAGACATAACTGCCAAAACTGATGGACAGTTTTATTAATAATAGGCCAAATCATAATGTCACACAAAACTGTAGGAGGATGGCTACTGTGATATAGTATAATCCAGTCAGTAATGTTAAATATACACCATGTGTACATTAGAGGAAAAGGGGAGATGGGACAAACATCACAGGCAATGAAGAACAATATCCTCAGCCTAACAAAAATGATGAGAAACAGAAAAGTGCCCATGAACAAGACAAGGATGAAAAAAAAAGCACAAATGTCGGAGCAAGGTCACACCAGAGGTCCCAGATATCAGCCCAGCTTTTCTCAGCCTAGAAAAAAAGTTAGTCGCTCAACAGCTGAGCTAATAGTTCATGTAAGTTAACTTTCAGTCAAAACACGCTATATAACAAAAGGTTATAATTTTTGGTGGGAGCAAAAGTCTAGATTTAGGATGAATAATAAGAGGAAGGACATTCATCCTATTTTTTTGTTTATTCATTAACAATAATAATGCAATGAACATGCTTTTAACTTCCTAATGAATGTGCAATACTGTC